TGTAGCGAGGGAACGAGCCAGGAATATCGCGGGAAGAACCACACCGTTTCTCTGATGGAAATCTTTTATTACGGGAACCGCTCTCTTACACGTACCGCACGGGAGGCAAGCGCCGTACAACTCTCTCGCTTTCTACTCACACACACACTAGAAGACCCTTCGCTAGCTCGATTTCACTCTTCCGCTCGCTACGCCCCCTGCCGGCCTACCTCAAATGATCCTTTCATGGCGGCCTCGCCTACCGCCGCTCTTACTAATATAATTCGGGCCTAACATGCCGCCCGCCTTGACAAACGTTACACGTTTTCAATATATAAAAAAAACAATCTGCTTTGGTAACTTGTAGGATTTCGCTTAACATAGTCCGCGCTCGCATTCACAAATTCTTAAAGGAAAATTAAACAATACAAAGAAACAACCAAAATCATTGACAAACGCATCTTACAACTAATTTTACTTACTAAACGCAATATTTAACATCGGTGCAAAGTTATAATCCCGACAATCTTTAATCGCATGGAATCGGCGCTATCTTTACTACAGGTCGCTTGTAGCTCCCCTTTGCCGTTCGCACAGTTACCGCGCGCACCAACCCGTCCGCCCCTGGATGCACCGCTAGTATTCTCGCCATCGTCCATTTGAAAGGCATGGTCTCATCTTCTTTTAACATTACCAGTCGCCCCTCCAGCAACTCGTCCGGCTTCAGCGTCTTCCACTTAAAGCGTTGTTGACACGTGGCCAAGTATTCCGTCTGCCAACGTGACCAAAATCTCTGACGGAGGAGTTCCACATGCTGCCACCTAGACAACTTGGAAATCGGTGTCTCCTGCAGGTCAGGTCCCGGTAGCGATGCCATTGAGCTGCCTATCAGGAAGTGCGCTGGTGTTAAGGCGTCCAGATCTCGAGGGTCATCCGATAATGGTGTTATAGGCCTTGAATTCATCATAGCCTCAATTTGACTCAGAACCGTTATCATTTCCGTTACCGTGAGCGAAGCGTTTCCGATAGTCCGCTTCAACTGCCGTTTCAATGTCTTGACCGCAGCCTCCCACAGGCCTCCAAAGTGCGGAGCCCTGGCAGGAATGAAGTGCCATTTTATCCCGTTCTTGGCGCAATGCCCGTGGAGTTTCTCCAACCACTGGGAATCCCTGAGAACTCGCTGGATCTCCCGCTCAGCGCCTACGAAGTTTTTTCCATTATCCGAGTAGACGTCCGAGGGCAATCCTCTCCTCGCCGTGAATCTCTTCAATGAACCCAGGAATGCTTCCGTAGTCATATCGTCCACTAGCTCTATGTGAACCGCCTTGGTGGCCATGCACGCATACACGGCCACGTAAGCCTTATATTGTCTGCTGTTCCGTCGAACGCGATCCCTCACCATGAACGGACCACAGTAGTCGACTCCCACCCTTGAAAAGGGTCTCGATTCTTGTACCCGCGCCTCCGGAAGCCGTCCCATTAATTGCTGACACGGGACCGGATTGGCCTTGCGGCACACGACGCAGTTCCTCACGAGTTTCTTGACTATGCTTCTTCCAGCTATCGGCCAGAATTCGCACCTTACTGCTGCTAAGGTGGTAGCAGGCCCGGCGTGGGCCATCTCACAATGTCTTTCCGTGATGACTAGCTTGGTGAAGTGATGATCTGCAGGAATCACCAGAGGATGCTTGGCGTCCTCGGCTAATGATGATTGGTGTAGTCTTCCGCCCACCCTCATCATTCCTTCTTCGTCTAGATAGGGTCTCAAGGTGATTAGCTTGGAGCTCCTCGGAATCTCCTGACCATTGCTTAGTTTCTTCACTTCGTCCTTCCACGCTAGCAATTGCACAACCTTCACTATCACATTCCGCGCCACTCTCATCTCCTCCGCGGTTACATATCTTTCCTTATAAGAAATATTTAGCTTCTTAAATTTACCTACAAATCTTAACATATAAGCTATCACGCGTAACAATTTAAAGTACGAGGAAAATTTAATAAAATCTATCGCTGAGTTATCGACTAGACTTATTGCTATTAGCGCTTTCTTGCGCTCTTCAGGTACCGCATCCAGCTCCACATCAAGGCCGTCGGTTTTCGCAAAGTCATTTTTCACTTTCAACCAACGCGGTCCTTCCCACCATATCGCTGAATTGTTCAACTGCGCCGGT